AAAAATCGGAAGTAGGACAAATCTTCAAAAATTTCAATACTATGATTCAAACACAATTTCAAACAAAAATACAAGTGTTGAAAACCGACAATGCAAAGGAATATTTTGAGACTGTCCTAGGTGATTACCTCAAAGATCAGGGAATTATTCATTAAAGTTCTTGTGTCGATACACCCCAACAAAATGGGATTGCAGAAAGAAAAAATAGACACCTTGAAGTTGCTCGGTTACTTATGTTTACCACTCATGTTCCTAAATTTTTCTAGGGTGAAGCAATCTTGACAGCTATTTATCTAATAAATAGGATGCCTTCTCGAGTTTTGAAATTCCAAACACCTTGTCAAGTCTTCCTTCACTCATTTCCTAACACTCGTGTCTTGTCTACTCTTCCTGTGAAAGTTTTTGGTTGTTCAGTGTTCGAGTAAACTTGATCCAAGGCACTCAAATGCATATTTGTTGGTTACTCCTAAAATCAAAAAGGGTATAAATGTTATTCCTCTGTCACTCGAAGATTCTATAATTCCATGAATGTTTCTTTCTTCGAACAACAACCATACTACAAATCTGATATTCAGGGGGAGAACTTTACTCAAGAATATCAGCTTTGGGATGATGTTGAAACCTTGGACTTATCTCTCCTCAATCACATTCATCAAAATCCGGTTATTCAAACAAATCAAAGTCCAATTTCTGTCATTCAACCCGTCCCTGACACTCAGGCTGAATTCAATTCTCAAACAAAACTCCAATCAGTACCTCAGTCAATTCAAACACCTCAACATCTGACTCACACACAGCCTGCGGTAACTAGTGAGTTCTGTGTCTACTCTAGGAGGAACAAGACTCAAAAAGGAAAAGGAATGCAGCCACATGACCAAAGTCATGAATCCAACCCGACTCTTGAACCTCAAAATTCACCAAGTAACTCAAGTTCATATCCTGCCCCTAGCAACTCATCTATTGATGACAGACCTATTGTCATAAGAAAAGGCATTAGGTCATGCACACATCATCCCATCTATACTTTTGTATCATATGGAGGGTTGTCATCTAGTCACCGTGCATTTGTTAGCACCCTTGATAAAATATAGGTTCTGAATTCCATACATGAAGCTCTAAATGTACCTGAGTGGAAGGAAGCTGTTTTGGAAGAGATTCGGGCTCTGAAAAAGAATGGGACTTAAGTGTTATCAGAGTTACCATCAGGGAATCATCTGGTTGGCTGCAAGTGGATATTCACAGTCAAACATAATGCAGATGGCAGTGTTAACAGATTTAAGGCAATGTTAGTAGCTAAGGGTTTTACTCAATATTATGGGATAGATTATCAAGAGACTTTTGCCCCTGTAGCTAAACTCAATACAGTCCGAATGTTACTCTCACTTGCCTCAAACCTAGATTGACCTCTATACCAGTTGGATGTGAAAAATGCATTTCTCAATGGAGTTTTAGAGGAAGAAGTCTACATGGAGATCCCCCCGGGTTTTACTCCCCCAGCCACGATGAACAAGGTTTGCAAACTCAAGAAGTCTTTGTATGGACTAAAGCAGTCACTACGAGCTTGGTTTGACAGATTCACTAGGGCGGTTAAGAAGTTTGGGTATGATCAATGTCAGACAGATCACACTATGTTTGTCAAGCATTCATCATTAGATAAAAAGGCAATACTAATTGTGTATGTTGATGATATCATCATAACCGGAGATTATGATGAAGAGATACTCAGGCGTAAGAGTTTCTTGGCTAAAGAATTTGAGATCAAAGACTTAGGCAATCTCAAGTACTTCCTTGGCATGGAAGTCGCTCGATCGAAAAGAGGCATTTCAGTTTCACAACGGAAGTATGTGTTGGATCTCTTGAAAGAGACAGGGATGCTCGGATGCAAGCCAGTTGACACTCCTATGGATCCCAACTCAAAACTGGGAAGTAAAATTGACAGCACTCCAGTTGACAAAGGGAGATACCAAAGATTGGTTGGGAAACTCATTTATCTGTCTCATATCTGATCAGATATCAGCTTTGTTGTAAGTGTGGTTAGTCAGTTCATGAACAATCTAACAGAAGAGCACATGGAAGCTGCATACAGGATTCTAAGGTACTTAAAGATGACACCGGGTCAAGGATTGTTCTTCAAAAAGACAACGAAGAAAGTAGTTGAGATCTTCACTGATGCAGATTGGGCTGGGTTTGTAACTGATAGACGATCTACTTTAGGTTATTGTACATATGTGTGGGGAAATCTAGTCGCTTGGAGAAGTAAGAAACAATCAGTGGTTTCTCGAAGCAGTGCAAAAGCAGAGTTTAGAGCTCTTGCACTTGGCATCTGTGAGGGAATATGGTTGAAAAGGATGCTTTGTGAACTAAGATTTCCAGTCTCAGAACCTATGAAAGCTTTCTGTGATAATCAGGCTACAATAAGCATAGCGAAGAATCTAGTACATCATGATAGGACCAAGAACGTGGAGATTGATAAACACTTTATCAAAGAGAAGATAGAAGCAGAAATAATATCTCTCTTGTACATTCCAACCAACCAACAGATTGTAGACATCCTAACAAAGGTTGTTCAAAGGAAGACCTTCGAGGATCTTATTTCCAAGCCTGGTTTAATCAACATCTGCAACCAAGCTTGAGGGGGAGTGTGGAAATTCATGATTTAATGTCTGATTTCTAGGAATTAGCTGTAACCCGATTCCTAGGAATTAGTTATAATTAGATTTATTTGTTACCTAGATTAAGAGGGATATTAGCTTTATTCACCGATTCCCTATTTTGCATTTTTTCCTTTTTTGGTTTCTTGTTTTCGGGAGAAGAATCCTTCCTCCCTTATTATTTAAGGCTGTACAATTAGTCAGAATTATCAAATTCCTTTCTCAAAAACTCACAGTAAATTATATTTCTCAAACTAAAATGTTCTTCCTATTGGGGTACTATATTACAGAGGCATTTCATGCACTTAGAATTGTTTGGTTTTTTTTTTTTTTTTTTTTTTTTTTTTTTTCAAAAAATGATGAAACTCATGTAAATGACCTCTATGCAAACAAAACTATTACATCGTTAAGGTTGGCTATTGTAATAATAAAATTCTACAAAAGAAAAAATGATTTATGCGTTTATTGCCTAAGCCTTCAGTAAGAATAATGTTACGTACTTCATTAGTCAGAAGAACAAACAGTATACTTATCACAGAATCAGTGCATCTACTTCCATTTGCCTACGTAATTGCTTATCACAGAATTAGCCAAACATGTGTTGACTTCATCAGTAAGAAGAAAAAACAGTATACTTATCATTTCTACTTAGTTCTTATCAACAATGTAATGGTGTATGAGAGCTCAAAAACAACAAAACTCAAACTAGATTCAACGATGACTGTAAACAAACTTTCAGCAAAGGGTTTCACATAGTCATGAATAACAGAGGACAGAGCATCGAAATCTTAAGAACAAATATGAAAACTTTACAGACTTTTATGTAAAGAGATGAATCAATTCCAAGGAGTTTAAACACCAAAATTCATTGCAGAATTCAGTCAAATAACATAATGGACAGAAATTTTAAAAATGAATAAATAAATAAACAAAGAAACATTATAAAAGACTGGAGGAACTAATTAAGCTTCACAACTTACCACCGTAGTCTTTGTATTCAGGATCAACATAAGAATCAGGAAGCGCAAACAGAACACGCGGCAACCCCGTTGAGGAAAAAAAAAAAAGAAAGAGAGTATAAAAGTTGAGCACAAAGAGAAACAGAATGGCAAGAAAATACAATATTTACATGCACTCTTCTGTCTGAAATACATAATTCACGTACCTTCAAGCTTCTGTGAAGTGTCCTCATCAATCTCAGACAACACATTCCTTCAAGCTTCTAAGAAGCTTCTTCTTAGCCTCTTCCTCAGTGAAACGCCGTCAAATCATTTTCCAACAAACAACATGTCAATTGTGCCGTTCAATCTTTCATAGTCGTTTATGTTTAAAAGCAACGTGTTTTTTCTTCATCTAACTTTGCTGCCGTCTACAAAGACAACATTGCGTTTTTAAAATGCTGCATAATAGGTTAAACAGCGTGTCCTATAGCTCAAAGTTCACTTTTCATTTCCGCAATTGACAAGCCATTGTCACTTCTAGCTTTAACCGCGTATTCTTCACAAATTACACCTTATTCAGCATCATACTGATGAGGATCGGCTGCAAGGGCAAGGGGCTGGTGCGCATGGACATACTGAGCGTAGGCTTGATGATTTGCATGTTCCGGATGGGCCAATTACAAGAGCAAGGGCAAGGCGCATTCTAGATGAAGAAGCTAAGTCCTGTTTCTATGGGGGAATTGGGTTTGGAACAAGGGCTCAAGAGTGTTAATTTCGTTCAAGTTCAATTAGAAGAAGATCCAAGTTCTTTGGGCCAAGATACAGACAGCCCAAGTGAGACTTAAGTGAAACATGTGCTATGCATGTGACATTTAAGTGAGGGGCCATTTCAGACTTCTTACGTGGACTTAATTATGTTATTTCATTAAAGCTTTTTTTTTAAGTTGAGCTTTTGTTTGCTTAGGATTTTAATTGTTTATTAAGGAAATGTTTAGTTTATAGATTAAAATTATGTGATTAAAATTATTTTTAATTTACGTGTATTTTTTATGAAAGAAAACACTGTAATGAACCATGAACCATAATTCAAATTATAATTTTAATCCTCCAACCAAACGTTCCCTTAGTGAGTCCATTAAGGTTTAAAACAAACCCTAGTACTCCTTTATTTGATGGTGTAACCTCCAGGAGCAGGGGCAGACTTCTGAAAAACAATCTGAGAGAGTTTTTTTCTCCTAGCTGTTCTTCAGCAAAACTTGCAACGAATTTGACAAGTGTTAAAACTCGTGGAATTCAATCTCTTCTTATAATATTGGTTCTTGTTTGACATAAGCAATGGGTAAATATTTTTCTGTTCTTTCCAATCTGTTTTGGCGATCTGGGAATCGAATCTAGTTTGGTTGTCAGATTTCACAATTCTTTGTGAGGTTCACATCACATACTTTTCATAATTTCATACAATCTCAGTATGCAGTCCAAATAGTACTAGAGTTTGACATTGAAGACAAATCCTGGTGATACAAACTGTAGATAAATCTAAGCTGCACGTCATTTCATCAAAAAAAAAAAAAAAATTAAGCTGTAAACCAAAACAGAAACAAGAACTTCACAACTCCCGCTTTAGTATGAAGCTTTTCACTTACTTCTTTGAGGCCTTGAAACCATGTGCTCCGACTTCTGTCAGCCAGAAATAACAGAAAAATGTTAGCCATGGTCAAAGTTATAAACTGTTGGGAATGTTGTTCTATAATTATGAGATGTAATAAGATATTCACTTATTATTTAATAAAATAATTTATTCATTATTTTATGTGCATATATTATTGAATATTTTATGAATATCAGTAAAAATTTCATGATTATTTACGTGACCTTAAATATTGTATATAAGTGTTATATGCGATAGGATAATATACAAGGATAATAATCAAAACGACGTTCATAATGAATTTAATTAAAGTACGAAATCTTTAAATTAAAACATTACTAATACAAGTCATTCCCATTTAGAATGAAACGATGATATCTGCACTATTAATATGACGAGATATTGAATGAGTCTATTACGCATAATGAGATTATGCGAGATAGCGACGTAGACACAATATGAATTTATGATAATTTCCGTTAAGTATAGAAATTATAATTGAGTCTACCGATGATTATATATAAAATGATCTTAATCATGAGTTTTTAACAGACTCCTATTTATAGATTTATGCCTTTTAGTTTACTCAATACGAGTTCCGAGATCATGAATCATATTCCTTATATTTTAGAGACATGATGAAGTAAGTGATGGAAATAAATTCTTTATTGATGAAATCTTTAATCACACCAAGATCCACCATGTCAAATCATCAAGAAGAATAGACTTAAGCGGAAGCGTACCTGAGTCCATAGGAACGGATTGTTTCATGAATCTTGTGGTTATTGATTAATCTTTTGGTTCTTGATCTTCTAAATTATTCAGTATGAATGCCTTGAGAATGAATTCTAACTTTTCTAATGATGGGATGTCAGAAAAGTTTCATACATATAATTTGGGGACCACAACCATTTATATACAAGTCAACTTTTCATTATTTCTAATTTGACCCATCATAAAATAAGAAATAATGATTTGGTCTCTACACATATTAGGCCCACACTTATTAGATGGATTAAAACTCAAATTACCTAAAATCTTATTTGATCACTTTAAATGGGTTTCACTTAATATGATAGCATATAATATACAATTATTATTATATATGTATATATGCACGTCTAAAATCTAACAATACGTAGTCGGGAATGTTATTATACAATATGGAATTCATTCATTCTTGAGAAAGAAGTAGATAAATAATTCCCTTGAGGGTTAATTCGGTACTTGGACTTGTAGGAACTTCGATTCATGAATTTGTTTTATGAATCACTGTCCATTAGAGAATCAATGGTACTCAAGGATAAAGATGTAATTAGAGAGGTTAACAGATTTCACATAACTCTAATTATGAATTATTTATGGAAGATTAATCTATATGCAATGATTATATCAAATGGACACTTCACAGTTTAGAAGTAATTTATATCTATAATTACGAGAGAGCAATTCCAAGTTTATAGTTGAGTAACTATTGAAATTAATATAATTAATTAATTAATTAATTAATTAAAGAGTTTAATTAATTATTAATTTTATTAGAGCTCAGAATTATAAGTCCACGAGTCTCCGCGCCGTCCTTGTAATTATATAAGACACTAAGGGCAAAATGAAAATTTTAGAATTATGAAATTGTAAAATAAAACGCTCAAAGATAATTAATTGAAAATTAATTATAAATTAAATAATGTGATTATTTAAGTTTAAGTTTAAATTTATATTTTGAAACACACATGTGAAGGTGCTCACATAGTGTGAACGCACAGCACAGTGTGAATCCTTTAGGGATTCAAGTTGCTTGCTCTCTGTAGTTATCCAATTAACTTGGAATTGATTTAAGTTTGACTTAAATTGAAATTTGAATTTAAGTTAAAAATTGGACTGCATGATAAAAATTTGCAGATAAAGAAATTGCGCCTACCACAGGAAGGTATTCCCTTTGTGGTGGCCGGCCATATAGGATAAGGGAGAGAGTAGATTTTATTTCAAAATAAAATATGAAGTGAGAGATAATTAACAAGATTTATCTTGGAGATAAAGATAAGACTCCTTCTAAAAGTCTGACTACTACTCTATAAAATAAGAGATTGGAGAAAATTGTGAGAACATAGGTGGCCGAATTTTATAGTGAGGAAAGGAAAAATTTTCTCTCAAATTTCACGTCGTACATGTGTTGGTGTTTGTGGAAAACTTGAGTGTTTTCTTATTAATCCCGTTTTGTTTCAGGTGTGCCCACACACACGTCTTCATAGATTCAAGGAATTGACGAGGAAGATTCGGGTGTTCTAAACTAGATTGGAGCGAGAAACGTTCGAGGTCAAAGAATTCAAGATATCATCCTAATCGGTCGCTAGGTAAATTAATTTGATTAATTTATTCGTACATAAATTAATATAATCTATAGAGTCTATCAAAATTTTGTGAAAATTTTGTTATACGCGATCTGCTAATCACACGCTTCCGCATCCGAAATCGTTTCAGAAACCAACATAAACAGCTTAAGCAGATTCATAGCCCAGACCCGACATGGATTGAACGCAAATCAAGTAGACGTGTGGAAGAAAGACGAGAAACAAACTTTTGAAATATATATTAACTTCTTGGGATTTGGAAGATTGGTTTTGATAAAGTCCTTTCTAACAAAATACACTCCATGCAAACATTACATATATGTAGTGTAGCTCAACTTCAATTTATGAAGATTGAGGGAGCCCTTTTAAGAATCTGGGTCTACAAATGTAATAGGCACTTCACAAGAAACCAGAACGGAATACGGTATGATGAAAATGAAAGGAGATTGTTTTGACTAGTTTGATCCTAATTCCAAGGCCATGGCTTACATATTTTTGGTAGGATTCTGCCAACATAGATTGTGTTTTAGGACAATGTGAAACAAAATGAGTGGAAAATAACAGAGAGATTTACGTGATTCAACCTTTTGCATATGTTCATAGGCGACGATGTGAAGAAGTTCGACTAACAAACTCACAAAGAGATTGTAAAGAGTGTTAAAACCCCATACGCCCATAAATTTTGAGCCATATCCCAACAAACATGAATGAATGGTTCTTTCTCATGTGAGAAGCTGAGAGGATTATGTTAATAATTAGTAATCAATATAATAAGTAGTTAGTGGTTTGTTATTATGGTTGGTTTGTTATGTTTGTTAAGCTAGTTAGTAGTAGTATATAAGGAAAAGAAAGAGACTAGGGGGGGGGGGGGATTATTGATTAGAGTAAACTGAGAAAATTCTTGGGAGAGCTAGCAGACCTCTCGAAAGTCTGCAAATCTGTCTTGTAATCGAGTCTAGTTCTTGTTTTCAATAATAATCTTTTCTTGGTTCTTATCAAGTGGTATCAGAGCACTTTCTTGGGGGAAAATTCGGAGAAGATGGAGGGAACATATGGATGTTGGCAGCAATTAGAGAAGCCAATGTTTTTCGGAGAAGATCCGGATGCGTGGATAGCAAGAGTAGAAGAATATTTCTTGAAAAATCGATTTTCAGAGCAAGAAAAAGGTGATGTTTGTTGGGGAGTTCATGGAAGGTAAAAGCTCTTCAGTGGTTTCAATGGGAGGATAGAAGGCGGCCATTCGTTTGTTGGAGTGCTTTTAAGATGCATTTGTTTCAGTGTTTCCAACCAAAAAAGCGAAACTGTTCTATTGCGAAGATTGAAGCCATGGTTCAAAACGTGGAGCAACTTCTAAAGAGGATGGAGATGAGATTTGGAGCGGCAGCATCGTCGACCATAGCAGCAGATCGACGTCAAGAGCTATCAGAATGCAAGATGAACGATCTGGAGTCGAAATCTAGGTTTTTAGATCCTAGAGTTTCAAATCTTGGGGTTTTCGATAGTTCGCGACCAAATCTGGGAGACTGAATCCGACGAGCGGCGCTAGAGGAAGGGCATATTAGACTGCCGAAGGGGAAGGTGGCTAAACGCGAGGAGAACCCGCGCAGCGGAGGGGTCGATCTCAACCAGAATCGACCCAATCTGCGACGGGACCAGCAGATCGACGCCGATTGGGGCTTGGAAAGCCCATATCTGCAACGGGGAGGGTTGATCGACGCCGGATTTGGCTTGGGTGGTGCTCAGGGGTGGCAGGAGTTACGATTCGACCATAATCTTTTAGATCCACGGCTTGGAGGTCAAATCGGTGGGGAGCGGTGCCGTGGAGTGCAGATTGGCGATGGGTTGGAGCTGAACTACGACTAGAGGCCGCGCGAAGGAGAAGCGAGGGAAGGGGCGCTGACAGACGTGAAAGAGCAGAGAGGGGGGGGGGGCGATTTGACGGTGGGCTGTGGTCGGGGGGGGGGCGGCGGGCGCGGGCCGGTGACGTTTGGGGTTGGGCTCACAATTTCCGGCGCAACTGAGGCTGGGCTTGGCGATTTGGCTGCGGTTTGGACTGGGACACATGATTCCGGCGATGTTGAGGCTGTTTCCCGCCAGAATAGTAGTGACCCACTCAATTCCGGTGATATTATGGTTAGGACATGGAAGTTTGGCTCAAAACCTTTGGTTGGTGGGGCTGAGTTTCGAAATTCCAGCCAAATGAGGGTTGGGTCACGTGTTTCCGGTGTGGGCAGGTTCGATTCTTGCGTGATTGGGTCTGGGTTGCGTAATTCCAACATTATTGGGCTTACTTCTAGCTCAATAGGGGTTGGGCCTAAAAATTTTAAGGAAAGTGGGATCAATTTCAGCAAAATATGTAATGGGTCCTCAAATTTTGGCCCAAAGTGGACTGGGTCTAGGAATTCCAGCACTCCTGGGGCTGAGGATGGAGAAATTGACTTCATTGGAGTAGGACTTGGACACTCTGCAAATGGAAGATCTGATATTTCCCAGTTTGTAACTCCAAAAATCAAAATTTTTATGTTTTGTGGACTGAACAATGGCTCTAATGGGTTTTCTACTCTCAATTACACTTTCGTGGCACCTTGGTTTGTCACCGTTGAAGTTGGCTCTTCAAGAATTGCGATGCCCTTCAACATTCTGAAAGGTGGGCTTGACGACATGGGAAGGAGATGGCGTCATTCCACTGCGGTCACTTGACCACACCTTGAGGACAAGGTGTCTTGGGGAGGGGAGTAATGATAAGATTATGTTACTAATTAGTAGTGATTTGTTATTAGGGTTGGTTTGTTAAGCTAGTTAGTAGTAGTATATAAGGAAAAGAAAGAGACCGGGGGGGGATTATTGATTAGAGTAAACTGAGGAAATTCTTGGGAGAGCTAGCAGACCTATCAAAAGTCTGCAAATCTGTCTTGTAATCGAGTCTAGTTCTTATTTTCAATAATAATCTTTTCTTGGTTCTTATCAGAAGCATATTCCAATGGCATCAACCCAACCAATAAACTTCAGAAAGGAAAATGCTGGTATATATATTATCGTAGACTACATCTAAGGTCCAAAAGTTCAGAAATTTTCAAGCAAAGCAAAAAATAGTCTTTTACAATCCATTGCTTAACTTTCTGAGAATAAATTACTGCAAGAATAAGACAAGAAGACTTTGAACTTACCTGCTCACTATAAGGCAAATATTTCCCATCGAATGTCACAACCACACGATCCTTTCCGTCCACACCTTTGACTTTGTCCACTGAACAGTAGAAGTCTATTGCCGACATGCTAAAAATAATAAAAGTAAACAACAGATAAAACAAATTAAAGAAACTAAATTGGCTGAATTTTACATTGTTTACAGGCCATGTATTTCCATTGCAAAAGAGATTTGATGTAGTTGAATGTCATGTATTACTACATAACAATCACAGTAACACTACCATACCTTTTTCTTTTTCTGTTGGAAAGAAAATGCAGGAAACAAATAAAGAAAATTAAATGGGGAAAAAAGGAGTTGTCAAACATCTTAATCAAAAGCGTCCATGAGGGTAGTAACAAGTTCCAAGTATGAGAGCGAGAGAGTGTGTGTGTGTGAAGGGGGCATTAATTTTGCCCACTTTTTCATAGCTTTCTATACAAATTACAAACTTTGTGAAGCAATTACCCCATGAAACTACAATAAGAAATCAAGAAAGAATGACATAAATTTAACTTACATGCCATCACCAAACTCCTCATTGATAATTTCCTTGATGCTCTCACCAAAATGCATAACCGCTTCATTCAACCTAGTCCACCCTCGTACAAATTTAAAGTCAGAAAACGGTTACACCACAAACTACTTACTAAAGAGCTCAAAATTCATAGAGATGCGATATAAAATAAGACACTTGGTCTATTTTATTCTTGCCAATATCAATGCTAAAAAAGATTAAAAAACAAAGGTGTTACAGTGAAACTTCAAAAAGTCAAGGCAAAACGTGGACCTTCCACAACTGTTAGCTATTCTATCTTAAATTGTCAGAATTGCACAAACTTTAGCCCCCGTTTATTTCATGGGTTCGAACAATTGTGTTTTCTCTCACAAAATTTAAGTTTTTGTTCAAACTTTTCTGTTCAAATTGTACTGTCTTTTTCACCAAGGTGTGGTGGTGTTGTTTTGTCTGTGTTGATGATGTGGCAGATAGTTTTTTTTTTTTTTTTTTTTTTTTTTTACTTTTGTGGTTATTAAAAGTCAAAATAGGAACATTTCCTAATTTTTTTATTTTGGCTGAGATATAAATAGGTTGCGTGCTTTTCCTTCTTCTGCCATTAAACAAAGAGGTAGTCATTAAGAGAGAGAAAGTGTTCTTCTTGTAAGTCTTGGAGTGAAAACAAGAGTGAAGAGAGAAGAGGGTGTAATCTTTCTTGAATGTTCTCTGTTCAATACAAGAGATTTTTCTGCTGAGGTTTATTCACGGAGTTGTGTTCTAGATTTGCTCTGCAAGTTTGTGATCTGGTTGATTTTGTTCTTGAAGTTCTCTGTTATAATTTTAACACAAACCAAATGGGACGTTAATTAAAAAAAGAAAACTCTTTCATTGCTCAGTTGCCATTATCATGATTAACAGAAGCCACTCAAACCAAAATCTATAAAAAAGTGCTTGCAAACAATTCAAATGTGATTTTCACATTAGATTACGCCAAAATCTCGAATGACCAAAGCTTTAACTAGTATGTCTATATGCTGAGTGTGTGGAGCCTAATTATTGCATTGATTCAGAGTTAACACGCGGATTATAGATAGATCAACCTCATAATCATAGTGAAATTCTCCGAATGAAAGCGTGAAACACAAAGACACGAGCTTTTATAATTACTTCCACAACTATTTATTAGCTCTTCAAACTCACACTATAACAAATCGTTACACAAAACTAAACTTCAGAAACAAACCAACAAAAGCAGTAAACAAACAACAAAAATAACCAAAACCCATCAAAAGACCGAAATCGCAGAAATTGAGAAGACCCCACCTGTAAACGCAGGGTTCCTGGATCAAATTTGGGCCGTAGGATCTCATTGAAGTGAAAACAAGAGTGAAGAGAGAAGAGGGTGTAATCTTTCTTGAATGTTCTCTGTTCAATACAAGAGATTTTTCTGCTAAGGTTTATTCACAGAGTTGTGTTCTAGATTTGCTCTGCAAGTTTGTGAGCTGGTTGATTTTGTTCTTGAAGTTCTCTGTTCTAATTTTAACAATTGGTATCAGAGTCCTAAGGAAGAAGATGGGACAGCGAAATTCGACATTGAAAAGTTCTCGGAGAAAAATGATTTTGGTCTCTGGAGATTGAAGATGCGAGCATTGTTGGTGCAACAAGGGCTCGAAGAAGCTCTAGGAGGAGAGAAGAATTTGTCCAGCACTCTGTCAGAATAGGAGAAAAAGGACATTCTTGATAAGGCTCACAGCGATATAATTCTATGTTTGGGAGATCGGGTTCTCCGAAAGGTGTCGAAGGAGAAATCGGCCACTGCAATCTGGTTAAAGCTTGAAAATCTCTATATGACGAAGTCTCTTGCCAACCGATTGTATCTGAAGAAGAAGCTTTATACATTCAAGATAGCTACCAGGAAATCTATGGAAGATCATGTTGACGGTGAAATTTCGTCAACAAGATTGCGCCGGGTCACCCATTAGTATCCCGTAGGGTTACCGGCCTGATATTGGTGTATATTTGAAAATAATGTTTATGAACTATTCGTGTAAACTATGTGGTGAAGGAAATATGAATGTAATGCCTAAATGAAAGGACACACGAAGTTTATAGTGGTTCACTCTGTTAATGAAGAGCTATATCCACTGTGTTTTTGCATATATTTTCTCTGACTTTTTTAATTACATGTAGAGTAAGGAAGAGAGAGCCTTTTTTAGAGCCCAAGTTTACTTCAGGAGTGGTTTTTCTCTGTAGGCCTACCCACTTGAGTGCCTACTACCCTATGGGCCTAGACCCATAGCCTGCTAATCAACTTTTGGACTGTTCATTCATCCAGTTTGTCTCATATTACGGCTCTGCAGATTCCCTGTTATCCTTCCACTGTCCTTTGTTAGGCGGTTTAGGGGCTAGTAATTAATGCCTGCATTACAGACCTCTTCCAAACTCAGACGTAACTCCCTTGTCCACTCCAAGGCCTCTCGGAGGACGTGGGCCCACGTCTATTCCGCCTGCCTTCCGTACCTATATGGTAGGTTTAAACGCCGAGGGCAAAGGAAGCTGGTGTGACGGGTCGACCGCTGAGAACAAATACATGTCGAGGGAACACAAGGTCGATGACTTTTTAAGGGTCGGCGTCTAGACTTGGGTGCGTCCAGGAGACACGGAGTCGATGGTTTACCTGATGCGTCAATCATGGCCACGTGGAGCGCTGTCGTCATCCGACGTGTCGGTGCCTATTTTCCCATACAACATCTGCCTCCCAGGTTGAGGCTTTCCTTTGGACTGCCTCGAGCTAGGTTGGGATTTTGCACTGGCGTGTCTTTTCGTCTGCCTTGGGTGTGGGAACCTAAGTCCGAACCTGCGTTATGATAGCCCTGGTGCCTCGAGAAGTGCAAACGTCGCGTCGGTCCAACTACCACGCTGACGTGGTTTTTCTTTTGAACGGATGAACCCGAACCGTTGGATCACGCCCTTTTAGCTTCCCGCCCTTCCCCCAACCGCTAGATCGGGCTCCTGTATTTCCATTTCCAGATCTCTATTTATCCGATCGGACGGCTAGGAGTAGGGGGCTCATTTGCTATAAATAATCCCTCTTAAGGGTCCGAGTTTTTTTTGAAATCCTTTCGTCTTGCCGAAATTCCGCAGAAACTTCTCTGAGGCCGCTCGTTCTTCTTGGCGATATCTTTCAGTGCTCGCATACCCATCTCACTCTTCAGTCTCTGGTAAGCATTCCCCGCCTCTTCTGTATATCTTTCACCGTATTTAATCTATTTTTGATCTTGGTTGACCCCTTGAATAGGAGGAAAAATGGTTCTGAAATGGCAATAGGAATTGTGAGCAGTTTTGGGTTTCTGTTTGGCATTCTGGGTTAGCTTCGAATAGTCGTCGTTTGTGTTTGAATGGTCGTCGATTTATCCTAGCTTTAACCAACCAGGCTTTCCTAGTCTTGAGCCCCGAACTAACTTTTTCTCCCCTCGACTTATAGGACTAACCTTAGGTTCTTTCTTCACAGTAATGGCACCTAGGAGAAGACTACGTCGAGGGGGATCATCATCCGTGCCTCTTGTAAGGCCAGATCCATCGCCAGCTGCCGAGTCTTCCTCTATTCATACTGCCAGTGACTCTTTTCTGAGGGACGTCGAGGGCTACGTCCCTGATCCGAGAGACGACGAAGACAGCGTCGACCAAATGGTCGAGAGTGAAGATGAGGGAAATGGCTCTGAAGCTTCTACTTCTGGCAATTCCGGCTCTTTGGTTGGTGGCACCGCCGTCGGGATTAGTGGCCGGTCTATGGACGTTCCCGTTGCATCAGTTGGAGCGGACGAGGATCGGCCATGGTTCACCGCTGACTTTGTGGAGCCAAAAACCCGTGAGAGGGACATTATCTGCGCGTACCTGAAGGGGCACGTGGATGGTCATGGTTTGAGTTTCTCCTGCCAAACCCTCATTTTAGGGCGAGCCAACCCCCTCCCGGGTATATGTCTATATATACTCGGGCCCTTATAGCGGGGATGACCCTCCCCATTCACCCATTTGTCAAGGATTATTGCCAGCTTCATGGCATTTCCCCCACACAACTAGTACCAAACTTCTGGTATATTTTTGCTAGTATGTGGGTATTTTGGGACCGAAGGTTTGATGTAGATCTGCCTTTGGATGAATTTATTTTTGTATATAAATTGTGCCAGGTTCCCAGGTGCGAGGGCTGGTATTTTTTAGGTAGTTACGGGCAATCGAAGCCCGTTTTTGGGAGACTAATAAAGGGATTGCCGTCGTCGTCTCATGGATGGAAGCCCATGTTTGTTATGGTCAAAGGCCTGTTCGATGTCCACCCTGCGGACAGGCCTTTAAGCGAGTAGGGGCGAGAAGGTCATTTAGGACGCTAAGTGAGTGCCTTCGACTGTTTATCATTCCATCGTCCGGTTGTTATACTGCTGACCCCAAATTTTCTCCTATGCAGTTCCTCAAGACCGCCCCCAACTTTCTGGCAACAGGCTTGCTAGGGTGAGGCAGGCTTTTAGCTATTCGGAGGCCGACCGCCATATCAGCACACTATTGACTCAGGAGAATTTAGAACAATCCGGCCTCCTGTTGTCCCTTCCTAATCCCAACGATACCGACGCCGTTAAGGATTTTTTTCAGTTTACTGCCGGCAGTATCTCTTTATCCTCCTTTTCTTCTTTTTTTTTTTGACTTTGGCTTTGGTTGCTACAGAGATGAAGACCCTCCAGCTGCGCGTTCCTGGGGACAAGAGGCGCTCAAAGAAGCAGACGCCTCGTGAACAGCCGAGCCAAGCTGCCGGCACCAGAATTCCGCCGAGGCAACCTGTGGAAGAGGCCTCAGTAAAGGAAACGCCAAGACAAAAGAGGCCTCGGCAGGAGGAAACCCCTGTGGTACCTGGGCCTACGCCGGTGATTGATACTACCGACGCTGAGGCCTCGGCTTCTGAGATCTCTCCGAATAGAGAGCGCCTGCTGCTTCCTGGGGGAAGGGTCCTAGACCCGAATTTTGTCGTGTCCGATGTCTCCTAGGCCCAGATTGATGCCGCGCTGAACCCGCTCCCGCTTTTTTTGCCGTTTTCCAGGCCATGTATGAGT